TGCATGTTCTCATCCATAATATTCCATTTCTACTTTCATATATATGTTTTTTTACCCCATGTCTAGCCCTCTGCCCTATTCCACTCTCTTATTACACTATCTCTGCTGTCTACGGTTGTCTTCAATCCCTTTTCCCCCAACATTTTGTTGGTCACACAATATCATAAGTAATCTAACTACTTTCAATAGCAAGATCAGCCGATGGTTTCAAGAAAAGCAGTTTTGAACTGGTAAGGATATTTCTTTGAAACTTAAAGCCTAGAAACAGGTTAGTATTCTGTTCAAATAGTAGGAACATGAATCTATTGATAGCTGAAGACAGGACAAAAATCCTTAAAACCGGACAACAAAGCTTAGAAGAAAAGCAGCAATATTTTAGTCAAGTCGTAGAATACTGTTTCATCAGTTCAGTCTCATGTACTTAATCTTTCTTCTGTATCTGTTGAGGTTCGATGTTCCAGATTGAAATCTGGGATGTAATACTCAACTCCAGCTTTTGGCCCTACAATTAAGTTGCCCATTTTCTTAGTTTCTGAACTCTTATTTCTGTGTGTCTGCATTTAATTTTACTGACATAGCACTCCCTTAAGAACTTCTTGGAGATCCGGTCTGGTGCTGGTAAATTCTTTCAGGTTTTGTTTATCTGGGAAAGTTCGTGTCTTTTCTTCCCAAATGAACGATAACCTTGCTGGGTACAGAATTCTCGGTTGAAATTGCTTTTCCCTTAATACTTTGAATACATTTTCCCATTCTCTCCTCGCTCTCATTGTTTCCGATGAGAGGTCTGCCGTTAGTCTGATGGGATACCCTTTGTAGGTAACTTGCCTTTTTTCTCTTGCCAGTCTTAGTATCTTGTCTTTGTCTGTGGTTTTGGTCAATCTGGCTATAATGTGTCTTGGAGAAGATCTTCTTGGGTTGATTCTATTTGGGGTCCTCTGTATTTCTTGGGACTGAATCTTTGAGTGCCTCTCCAGGTTTGGAAAATTTTCTTGTAAGATTTCATGGAATAGATTATCAATGCCCTTATGAGTCTCTTCACCTTCTGGGATGCCTATTATCCGGATGTTTGGACGTTTGATGGTATCTAGTACTTCTCGCATATTATTCTCAAATTTTTGGGCCATTTTCTCAGTCTTCGCGGTGGATTTTTCTAGGCCAACCATTTTCTCTTCTACATTAGAGATTCTATTTTCTGTATGATCTAGTCTGCTTTTAATACTTTCAAGGGAGATTTTGACTTCTTGTATTATAGCCTTCATCTCTAACAGTTCCATCTGATTCTTTTGTAAAGTGTGAAATTCCTCTTTTAGATCTAGCATGAATTTCCTCACCTCCTGGAACTCTTCAACTCCTTTCTCCTTCCTCTTCAGCAGTTCCTTGTCTCTCTTCTCTTCCATCTCTGTTAGCTTTGCCATTATGAATGTTCTGAATTCTTTATCAGACATTTCCATGATTTCCATTGAACTGTGTGTGGATAAAGAGGAGCTATCCTTTTCCCTTGTGGGAGAGGTATTTTCCTGCTTCCCCATATTTCTTGTGGTCCTGCAGCGATTTCTAGTCATCTGGTGGATGGTCGGTTTCTTCCCAAACTTGGAAGTTCAATCAGAGGGTCGAGGAGTGTGCAGAAAAAGAAGCAGAGAGAGGGAAACAATACCAACAGCAAAAAAACAGACAAGAAACAGTGAAAAAGAAGAGAAAAACTTTTAAATAAATCTCAAAAGAAAAATTAATATTCAAAAAATTTCAATAAAAACCCCAAAATTAGAAAACTGCATGGTGCACTTGTATGAAATGGCTAGATTGCAGGAGCCATGGAGCTGTCTCTTGAAGAAGGCCTATTCTGTTCCCTTCCACCTCTCCACACGAGTTTTGTATGCTGGAGGCCAAATTATCAGTGGGACCTCTTCATTTCTCTGTTTCCCCCAAAATGGCTAGATCGGAGGAGCCATGGAGCTGTCTCTTAAAGAAGGCCTATTCTATTACCTTCTGCCTCTCCTGGATTTGGTAGGGGAT